CTCAGAAGCTTTTACCCCCTTCATGACAGGCCATTTTTTTCTTTGCTGGCACTGTACTACTTTAACTGAAAATTGCGCGGTCATGCAATGCTGTACCCAAAGAAGTTTTATATTAATTTTTTCACACAAATAGAGGTCTTCTTTTGGTGGTATTTGATCACCACTGAGTTTTAAAAAAAATAAATAATTAAAAAGACAATTGAAAAAAAAACCCAACAAGGTTTTTACTTCTCTGCTAAAAAAAATTTTCAATAAAAACTTTTTTTTAAAAAATCAAATATCTTAATACATTATGGCCAAAATGTATTATGCTACATGTCTTTGGTAAAAAAAATCCTAATAAGTGTACACTGATTGGTTGTGTAAAAATGTATAGTATCTACAAACTATGGGATCTAATGGCAGCGATCAGAAACTTATAACAGGATTGCGATATTGTGGTAGGCACTCTGACACTGGGGGGAACTGACTAACTGCCAGTGACATCACCAGAGACATTATTACAGTGACCAGTGCTAATATTATGCACTGTCAGTGTACTAATGACACTGGGTATCAAAGAATTAACATCTAGGGTGATCAAGTGGTTAAATGTGTGCCTAACAAGTGTTTATGTGTGTACCTTGTGCTGCTTTTACTGGGGATCTAGTTGTTTTCATTCCTGCTTCAGGGAATGAACAAACAACAAGATCCCCTGTCACTGACCACAGCTCTGTGTTGTTTACATTCACAGAGCTGCGTTCAGTGAAGCTCTGAGCCAATCACCGGATGCTAGCGGTCAATCATCGTCTGGGACCTGGTGATCAGCATGTGCTGTGACAAATCACAGCACATGCTGTACATGCTGTATATGTAAGTTTTATACGGTCGGCAAGCAGATATATACCATGGCCAGGCTATAAGTATACAGTGAGCCAGAAATGAAGTCACATTCCTATTATAGAATATGGTCTGACTTCCAGATTCCAATGTGAAATCAAGTACTTACAAGTATTCAATGACAATCACATCCGCTGGTGCACTTTATAAATACACTTGCATATTTGGAAGACTGAAACCTATACTTGATCCATATTCATATTTCAAAATGTTAAAACTGAGTTGATTTGGCTCCCGTGGGATTCCTTCATTTCCTCTTTGCCGACCCGAATCTAAGATCCTGATTGTTTCCGCACTGATTTTGTATAAACTCTGTATGACTCTATTGGACCTGATTATGTGTAGTTATGCCATCTATGTTTCTTTCTCTATGTGTATAATTTTTCTTATTTGAAAACCAATAAAAATTGTTAATACAAAATGTTAAAACTAATATTCACTAACATTCAGTAACATAAAATTGATGCTTGTTTGTCATTAGTAATATTATTATCATGAAATAACATAATGACTTTTAATCTTATCTCCTTGGTAATGAACACTTTCAAACATATGGCATGCCTTAAAATATAAGTATATACACCAGTACAATATACCAGATAATCATTCTAAGTAAATCCATTAGTTTTACTAAATGCTTTGCATTAAGAAGTCCTTTGCCTCTCAGCCTTTTTCCTTTGCTTTTAATACACATAATGGGTAATTTAATTACTTAATTGCACACTTTATCAATATACACAAAACTTAATATTTGCAGTTAAGTGATTGGCTATAAAATATTGATTTAGTATACATGTTTTGCTTGTTAAGTCTTATTGTAAAATCTTTTTCCAGCCTGTGCTTAATTTTTCCTTTCACTGTCCTTATCTCTATTCTTGTTACGCTTATGTATTAAATGTAATTTGCTAATTTTTTTATATCTAAGAATAGAAAGATGGGTAGGATGCAGGGGTGGACTGACCATTGGGGAACTTGGGCACTGCCCGAGGGCTCGGGGTCAGTAGGGGACCCCATGAGATGTCCCTGGTACCTTTCATAGGCTTTTTTGGGTGTGATTTGAGTGTGGGTAAGGACACAGGGGCCCCATGATCCCCTATTACCCGGGGGCCCCATGAGTTATCAGTCTGCCCCTAGTAGGATGACCCAAACATGATAATGTATCTTGACTGGACTGCTAAAGCTAACTCAATGATATTCTAAACTGTGCAAATGTACAAAAAATAAGTCTGGAATTGTAAATGGTTCATATAGGCCTTTCAACAAAGATTGCGGGGTTTGGTTTCAGCCTCAGGCACTCTGATGTGAATGCAATTGTTGTGCAGTGCCCATTATTGCACCTTGAATTATGTGAGGGCATAGGCCAGCAGACATTGTACTGCATAAATGTGTTCTGTCTTTACAAATGTCATGAAAGATAGGCCTGGATCTGAACAAGAAGAAAACCAAAAGCTTGCTATACACTAATAGATTCTTGCATAAACGTTGTTAAAAATATACAAAAACTCACATCAGTACATTCAATGACTTAATGAACATTGTTAAAAAGTACTTTAAAAAAGCCTGCTTTTACTATTTGAGTTTGGAGTGAGTGGACTTTCCTTAACCTCTTTAGGCCGACCGTACGCAAATATGTGGCCTCTCAGTGGCTGGGCCTTGACCCTGAGCGGCCGCATATTTACGTACCATTTGAAAACAAACATGTGCTGAGAGTGACATGTGCTGGCATCCCATAGAACGGTCCCGATCTCTCCTTGTGATCAGGACCTTTCCGATCATGTGACTGCTGTGACAGTCAATCACGGCGGTCACATGACCCTAAACCCTGCCCCACCTCCCGGCATCAGAAAAACCTTAAAGAGCTGGGAGGCGCTGGCGTGAAGCGGCTAATGAAAACCACATAGACTGTTAGAAATCCATTGTTCAAGAAAAGTTTTGCATCCTTCAAATTTTTTTTTTTTCAAAAATGAACACAAATTTGACCCTACTAACAGTTAGAAAATAAAACAACCTTTCTTAAAATTTATGTTTTTGAATGAAATCCTACCTGGCCAGCTTAGTGTATGGCCAGCTTAGAGTCACAGAGGGTTAGTTATAGGAGGAGACATGGTGAGAGGAAATTGGCACTTACCCTGATTGGAGATCTGAGTTTTAATGTTAGAAAAATAAAAGGAAGGTCCTGAGGGAGTGAGACCACCCACAGTCCAGATGTTCAAAAGAGGGGTAGAGCTCTGAACCAACTTTACCACCCTCCTGCACATAGATAGGATTTGTTTTTTTTTTCGATAAGAATATTGTGTAGGTAAAGTTTTTTTTATTCTCACCAAGCAACTTTTTGTTTTGTCATTGCAGCTAGTTGAGGTCTTAGGGTCCTTGAGGGCTAATATTTAATCAGGATTAATAGAGATACCATATCTGGTATGGTGCCCATTAATTACAGTTAAATTGGAGTTCAGATTTTGTATGTGTGGTGATTATGGTGGACATGCCAGTCAATGTCCTGGCAAGTGGGGGCACCTCTGTTGAAGAAATATGCCTTTGAAGACCTAATACCTTCCTAGTAGATATCACTGTATGTAAATGTAACTCCTCTTGGTGTAGTTTTAAATATTTGTTGGGTTGTATAAGGATGGGGGGGGGGGGGGAGATGGGAACAGCCCATGTAAGGGATACCAAATGTAGGTATCCAGCAGGGATGACCAAGTCAGTGGGCTACATCTCAAGGAATCAGGAACCAGGCAAAATAAGGTTAAATAAAGTTAATAACATACATATCACTCTTCCAACACCAACACCAGTAAACTATAAACATTTGATGCATTTCCCTTAATGAACATGCAGGGCTAGAGTACTTTGAAGAATGGACAGCTTTGTGTGGTGGCTGAATTAGTTCCCTTTTTTCTTTTATATTCACCTGGTGATCATTCCAGTAACACACTACCTGGATGGACTTTTGTCTTTTTTCAGCCAGACTAACTATGTAACTATGTACCTGTCCTATTGAGACAACTATCACTGACAGTACTGTATCTATGGAGAAACAGCAATGCCATCCTAGGCTGCTTTCATGACTTCAATGACAGATACCTCCCTCTCTCTGTTCATAGGGAGGAGGGATTTCGTAGTTCACAGAAGTTAGCTGGAAAAACTGATAACATTGTTTGAAATTTCAATTACAAGGATAATAGATTTCTATCAGGATCAACAGGAAATTGCTAGGAATATGCAGCTGTAGAAAATGTACTTTACAGAAAAAAATGAAAACAAATGCAGCCACTACATCTAAATGTAATACAATACATTTTTGGTTTAGATATACTTTAATTTGAGAGGTTATTATTAGCTTGAGAGTGAGAGGATGGAAGGGGAAGTGTTCAGATCAACACTTCCCCCATGTCTATACTTACCTGCTATGCGCAGTGGTTTTGAAAAGAGCAGCCTGGATTCTCCTCTTCTCGGGTCCCCTGCTGGCTCTCCTGGCCCTTCCCTCCTGTCAGGTGCCCCCACAGCAAGCAGCTTGCTATGGGTACACCCGCTGCTCCATGTGTCCATTCACACATGGAGCCACGGCTCGGCACCATCCCCTCTCTCTCTTCTCATTGGCTCACTGACTGTGATTGACAGCAGTGGGAGCCAATAAAAAGAGGGAGTCCTGGGATAGTGGAGACTCCAGTGCACATCACTAGATTGAGAGGGGGCTTAGGTGAGTATTGGGGGGGGGGCTGGGGTGATGGCGCACACAGAAAAAAAACTTGAGCCTTTAGAACCACTTGAATTTTTACTTGTTTACTGTTCCAAATGCCCCACAGCATAAATTCACTGATGCGCCTGCTATATAACTCATTTTAAATATTCTTGCATATAATTGCTATAACAGGAGTTGCCCAAGCTTCATTTTCTGTACAGAGCTGTACAGAGCCTTGATTTTCTTGACCTTTAGCTGTGTATTCAGTCATGTTTCTGTTTTACAAAATGTTCTGAATTAGAAACAATGATATGCAAGAAATGGTACAAAATGTTATTTTCCTAATTTTTTGTTAAATTACTTTTATATTTTGGTAACATGTAAAACATTTAAATAGTATATACTGTATACATTATATTAAACTCACAAAGACATTTATATTTATACACAGGGTGGCTTTACCAGAAAATATTCCCTTAGCTCAAAGACTGGAACTCTGCTACCAGAATTTCCGAGTGCACAGCATCTTGTTTTACAAGGGTGTTTATCTAAAGAAAAAGTAAGAATATCTGATTGTATTATTGTATTCCACACTTCAGGGAAAGAAAAAATAATAATTTCCTAGGGATGTTTCTCTCCCTAGTTAAAGTAAGATACCCTCTGCTTGTCTGGAACACACCAGAAAATAGTTTTTTGTGATAATTTTTTGAGACAGCCGATTGCTTTCCCTCTGAGGCATTTCACCTCATAAAAAGCTAATAGTCATATTCAAGAGGGAAGTCTAATTATTTAATGGGTTAAAACAAATCAGAATTTACTTTGCTAAATTAACATCAATTCAGGATGGATTCTGATTGTTATGGATTACTGTACCTAAATTAGTATTTGTGGAAAAAAAATAAAATGTCTTTAATATAGTCAAAAATGTAATTCGGTTCAACAATTTATTTTGTAAATTTTATAAAATTTCTCAATGAAATTTCCACCCTCCATCTTGTGGTGCAGTATTTCCCCTTACTTTGGGTTGGGGATTGTGAGCCCAATCTTTTCCCCATAACTGACGGCAGAACTACATATCCCATGATAGATTGCATGCACAATGCTGATGTACATACACAATGATGAATCAGAATGTTTCTGCTGACCACTATAATTATGACAGCAAGTGTTTTTTTGTTGAGAGTAGCTTGTCTTTCTATTGTAGTGTAGGGCAGTATGCACATTATGGTGGCTGCAATAGGGCTCCATAGGGACCCTGCCAGTGAATGTAGCCACCACAAAATTTAAAGTAAGCTTGGGCAATAAGTCAGATCGACCCTAAGAAAAGCAAATGGTAGCAATAAACATACCATACTGTAACTAATTGTGACTTTGTGATATTTACATTGTTGATTTGGGTTTAATAAAACTTTAAAATATGTATTAACCGCTTCCCATCTGCCCTAAAGCAGAAATACTGCTACAGGACGGCACGGGTGCACAAAATCATATATACATACATGATTTTGCATTTCTGGGCAGGGGGCGTGCGTGCGCTACCCGCGACACCATTTGAGGCTGCGGCTGTCAAACACTGGGTCCCAGCCGGTAATTACTTGCCGGCGCCCGATGATTTCCAAAGATCTCCGATGGGGAGGAGGACTGTTTTGTTTACCAACAGTCCTCCTCCCTGTCAGCTTGGGCACACTGTTCTGGATGGCTATGCACAGCACAGCCATCCAGAGCAGTGTGATTACAGTGAAGCACCCAGACACGGCCTCCTAGTAAAACACTCCCTGCATACAGTTCACCCTTTGATTGCCCCTCATGTTAACCCCTTCCTACTCAGTGCCATTAGTACAGTGTCAGTTCTTTTTTTTTTAGCACTGATCACTGTATTGGTGTCACTGGGGATGTCAGTGACACCAAATCATTTCACCCCAGTGTCAGAATGTCTGCTGCAGTCCTGCTATAAGTTGCTGATTGCTGCCATTACTAGTAAAAAAAAAAATAAAAATAAATACATTCCAGTATACTGTATATACCGCCATTTGTAAATGCTATAACTTTCACGTAAACAAATTAATTTACACGTATTGGGATTTTTTTTTAGCAAAGACATATCACATGGACATGTTTAATAGCAAAAAGTCCAAAATATTGTTTTTTTCTCAAAATTTGTAATCAAATACCACCAAAAGAAAGCTCAATTTGTGGGAAAAAAGGAATTACATTTCATCTGGGTGCAGTGTTGCATGACCGCGCAATTGCCAGTTAAAGTAACGCGGCACCGTAACGCAAAAAATGGCCTGGTCAGGAAGCGGGGTAAATCCTCAGGAGGGCAAGTGGTGAATACCACTCTATTCTGCTTCTTCTAGGGTTAAATTTTTGATAACAAAATAGAGCTAAAATAACTGATCGCTTGCATTGTGCAATTTAGCTAGCAGGAACCTATATCTCATGTGTACAGTAGCATATTGTTGGAATATTCTCACTGAACTACTTACATACACTCACAAAGGTTGAACTTGATGGATGTATGTTTTTATTTATTATTTATTTATTTATTACAGATACTTGTATAGTGCCATCAATTTATGCAGCGCTGTATATATATATATATATATATATATATATATATATATATATATATTGTACATTCACATCAGTTTTTCATAAAACATCCTCCACCTTGTATCTATCCTTGTGGAGTGATTACTGCTTCTCTTTACCTCTGACCCAACCTTGTTTGGTAAAAGGGAAGGGGCATTATACATGTAATCCATTAAACTAAGTTGCAATAATGTTTTGGCCATTTTATTGCAATGAAGAGGTGAAATTAATGAAGGTTTGTAAGCATTTTGATTGGTTAATACATGTTGCAAGGCATTAGCCTTCATCAATTCTGATTCAGTCTTAGCACAAAAATGCGTGCTCATTGGAGAAAACCGAGTCATATCATCATGTTGTACCCATTGAAGACCCTTGTATGCATTCGAACAAAGTCTTAGTTTTAATAACATGCCTTCATTGCCACCATTGCCTACTAAATGACTCATTTAGGGCCGGGGGAGATGTAAACATCAGCAATGTGTATGCAACATCGGCAGCACAGGAGCAGAATGATCTCAGCCTTCAGTCATTCGGAATGAATAAAGGCCAAGGTCATTCTGTGTCTGTACCATCACATGTTTTTGTGTTTACATCTACCTTCTGGCCCTGACTTCACTAGGTGGTGGCAGCAGTGCATATGGCCATGACCATTTAGACTATACACAAGTAAATGCTCACACAAACCTTTATATGTGTACCACGTATAATACAGTCAACACTATACTGAGGACTCAAATTTTCTTGTTGCTGTTACACAGCTAACTGCTATGGAGGAATACTGACCAAAAATCACTTTTGTAAATGGGTTCATAGCATACAATATTGCTGCATTCAGATCTGTATAGAACTATACACAATACTTATCTGAACGCAGTATTTTATACACCCATATCTGAAAGCTCAGTGAGTGAAGAAGATATCACAAATTGATGTATGTATCCTATTTGATGTAATACACTGAATTTTACTGTGACATATTGAAGTTATACATTTTGATTGGTGTGATACGCTGAAGTGGGCACTTCATGTATTAGTGTTGAAGACTTATGGATTAAGGGCAGGGGCGGACTGACAACTCATGGGGCCCCCGGGCAATAGGGGATCATGGGGCCCCTGTATCCTCACCCACACTCAAACCACACCCAAAAAAGCCTATGAAAGGTACCAGGGGCATCTCATGGGGCCCCCTACTGACCCCAGGCCCTCGGGCAGTGCCCGAGTTCCCAAATGGTCAGTCCGCCCCTGACTAAGGGGTAGAACACTGCAAACAATAATGCCTGTACAACATATTTTTCATGTTTTTCTTTCTGTCTGTGACCCCCTTTGAGCAGATTTTGCCTCAATAACAGACAGCAATAAAAACATTGTCAGAAATTCTAATACTCTGTCACTTTAGTAAAATTGTTTTTTTTTATTTGTCTGTATTCCCGTTGTAGATATTTTCATCACTTTCTGTTTGGACAAGAAGTAGGGGAATATCTCACCAATAGAAATTGATATTTTTATCATTCTAATTAATGGTAACTATAGAAGGGCCGTAAACTCACTGTGATGAAGCAGCTGCCCATGTAGGCAGGGATCTCAGCTATCGAGCAGAAACGGCATATGAGTGATTAAACTCTTCCTTCTTCACAAATAGTTAATGTAAAAACTGGCTCTGTAGAACTGAAATAGATCACCCTATTGGATCCTTGCTCAGGAATTTCATCTCAGGTCATGTAAATCTCAGCTCTTAATGTCATCTTTTGGTGCTGATATTTCCAGTGTTTGGTGATGTAACTATGGTTGTTCCATGGTGAATTTGGGATTTTGTTAAAGGTAGGGTAAGAGTCAAGAATTAGTGGGTTAGGGATATTGTTACAATATTGAGTGCTAAATTTACTTTTATAATTCAGTCTCAGTGATCATTTTCAAAATTAGGTTTAGTTTACGGGTTATGGTGAAGATTAAGCCAAAATGTTTCTTTAGATTGTGAATAAAATGGTGGATGGTCTCCCACTGGAGAGATTTCCCTTTCACTTCCTGTTCTGTAGACATAAAAGAAAGTGAGAAAAATCCCCTCTTAAACAGTTGTTGCAAAAAAGAAGTGTGGCAGTTGGAAATTTTACCTTCTTTTTCTAGTGTGGTGACAGCTCAGATTATTGTTTTTTTCTTCACTTTTTCTCCCAGTAGAGAAGGTGAACAGGACAATTATGCAGGCCATAGATGGGTCTTTAAAAAAATGAAAAATCGGTCGTTCAAGCGGCCGGCGTTACCAGCAACGGTAAAAAAAATCGGCCGATTTTCATCCCGTCTACAGCCGGCAAAAAGTGTCCCTGCAAAGAGCTCCGCTATTTCTTTGACAGTTCTTTGACATTTATAGTGGTTGCAACAATGTATCTATTTGTATCCATTTAGGATACAGATGTTTTTATTCGGAAACAAATAGATACATTGTTGCAACCGCTATAAATGTCAAGGAACTGTCAAAGAAATAGCGGAGCTCTTTGCAGGGACACTTTTTGCCGGACTGGAATTCCTCTTCTTCATCCTCTTCTTCTTCTTCCTCTTCTTCTTCCTCTTCCTCTTCTTCATCCTCTTCTTCATCATCTTCTTCATCCTCTTCTTCATCTTCTTCATCTTCCTCTTCTTCGTCTTCCTCTTCTTCATCCTCTTCATCCTCTTCTTCTTCTTCTTCTGCTTCTTCTACTTCTTCTTCATCCTCTTCTTCTTCATCCTCTTCTTCTTCTTCTTCATCCTCTTCTTCTTCTTCTTCATCATCTTCTTCTTCATCCTCTTCTTCTTCTTCTTCCTCTTCCTCATCCTCTTCTTCAGCTTTCTTCATCCTCTTCTTCAGCTTCTTCATCCTCTTCTTCATCTTCCTCTTCTTCTTCATCTCTCTTCTTCTTCTTCATCCTCTTCTTCTTCATCATCCTCTTCTTCATCCTCTTCTTCTTCCTCTTCCTCTTCTTCTTCTTCATCCTCTTCTTCCTCTTCTTCATCCTCTTCTTCATCCTCTTCTTCTTCTTCTTCTTCTTCTCATCCTCTTCTTCTTCTTCTTCTTCTTTCTCTTCTTCATCCGCTTCTTCTTCTTCATCCTCTTCTTCTTCTTCTTCTTCTTCTTCTTCCTCTTCTTCTTCCTCTTCTTCATCCTCTTCTTCTTCCTCTTCTTCATTCTCTTCTTCATCCTCTTCTTCATCCTCCTCTTCTTCCTCTTCTTCTTCCGCTTCTTCTTCCTCTTCTTCATCCTCTTCTTCTTCCTCTTCTTCATCCTCTTCTTCTTTTTTCTTCTTCTTTTTTGTCTTCCTCTTGCAGGTCACTGCTCATGCGCATATTTTTTTTATCGGTAAAAAGATCGGCCGATTTGCCCATCATTGCTGCGAAAATTGGCCGATCGGCAAAATCGGCCGATTTTTTTCCAACTTTACCGATAAAAAAAATCTGCCAAAATACTGAAAAACGGCCGAACAATTAGCCCACTAACGATCCGAAAATCGGCCGATTTTATTTTCGGCCGAAAAATCGGCCGGTTTTCGACCCATCTATGGCCTGCATTAGAGGGAATTTATCTTCTTAAGAAGAACACAGACAGCAATAAAAAAAAAAAAATCTGACAAAGGTTCTAACCCTGGCATTGTATATAAGGGCTGGTTCACACCATAGAAACGCAGTCTAGATGCATTCCAGATGCGTTTTTGAATGCGTGTTCTTGACGCATTTTTCCCTCATTCCTGTGTGTTTTTGATGCATTCCAGTTAATTTTTTTCCCTTTGGTTTTTTCTTCAATGTAAATAGGGACATGTGCATTCCAGTGCATTTTTGGTGCATTTTGGTGTGTCCCAGTGTGGTTTTGATGCGTTGTACAGTATCAGTATAGTTCTGTGCAGGAAAAATGCAGCCTGTTCTACTTTTTTTCTGCAACCAGAACGCACTGGAACTGCAAGCACTGATGTGAACTATGACATTAACAACCATATAACCTACTTTTGTGCAGTTTGGATGAAGAAAAAAAGCAATTGAAACACATGTAGTGTGAACTGGCCCTAAGGGTTATTATTTAAAGTTGGAGTAACAGCAAAGGTTAAGTGGTGGGCATCACTTTTAAGGATTAAGTAATGCGTTAGTAATCAGTGTAAAGTTCAGATTAAGCATAATTTGACCATTTCATTGGGCAATAGCACCTTTGGTCCCCCTATAGATATATTGTAATTGTGCAGGTTTTCCATATTCCAAACAAAAATAGATTATACTCTAAAGTAAACACAGGGGGGGATTTACTAAAGCTGGTTCACTCAGAATCTCATGCAGTTGTGCATGGTAGCCAGTCAGCTTCTAACCTTGTTCAATTAAGCTTTAGCAATAAAACTTGTAAGCTGATTGGTTTCCATGCAGAAGTAGGCAAGATTCCGAGTGAACCAGCTTTAGTAAATAAGCCCCAGTGTGTGAAACTATACTGAAAGGCTATTAGAAAGTAGAGAATGCAGAGAAAGGATCAATAATTTCCTGATACAAACTATAAAAAATAGAATACAATCCATGATCGATATGTAGGGTTTAATTCATTCCAATTTCTATAAAAGTTTGTGTACACGTATGTTTATGTTTCTCTTACATTATTGACCTTTGATTTTTTTTTCTTTTTTCTTCTTTTTAGGTAGATACACTTATCATGATGTACAAAACACACTGTCAATGCATACTTGACAATGCCATCAATGGAAATTTTGAGGAGGTGAATTGTTTACATATGTTGGGGTGGATGTCACAGTGTCATATACATCAATTATTAATAAAACATAAAAAAACTACTTTTTTTTATTTTAGATCCAACACTTTTTACTGCATTTTTGGCAAGGGATGCCAGATCATCTACTACCTTTGCTTGAAAATCCTGTTATTATAGATATATTTTGTGTTTGTGACTCTATTCTTTACAAGGTAGGTTAGTCTTTTTTGTCTTTTTTTTATTTCTACAATCCTTTTTGACATCTTGATATTCAGTTACATGCTTTTGTTTATTTTAGGTTCTCACAGATGTCCTTATACCAGCAACAATGCAGGAAATGCCAGAAAGGTATATTAGGATGCAAATGTTCACAAAAATGCTTATTGTCTATTGTTATTTCACCAACTGCTTTACACATTTTACACTTGGAAGGCAATGCATTCACTTTACCACATTTTATGTCTTTATTTCTGATACGTTTGGTTGGGAAATCAGATATAGTGCTTTAATACAGAAGCATTATTGTCTGGATTGGAGGATTTTGTGAACAGCAAATGCATTTTAAGAAGACCCTCCCGCCAGTCCTTTTATTTTAACAACAATCTTCCCATTTTAATATATTTGTATTTAACCTATTTTAGATAGGTTAATAATCTGTAAAAGCCGTCCTTGTGTTGACATTCAAAAGCAATGACATTGCTACTACATGCCAACATCTTGGATATGATATCAGCAGTCCCAACAAACTCAAAGCTATTAAGTGGCATTTTATAATATTCACCTTCGCTCCTCCTCCAGCTGCTACAGGCGCAGGAGGACAAGGGAAGCAAAATTCTACAGAGTGTCACTTCAGTGACAGCTCTGAGTTCGCTGGGACTGATGACATCACATCCAAGATGGCATCACCCAGCAGCACTCTTAGAGATTTTGGATGTTTACAAAATGTATTCAGATGTCGTTATAAACATAAGGAGGAGATATTTTTTTCAACATATTCTTTTTGCTCAATAATCCTATTTCAGGATCCTGTAGGTGACCACTGACAACCCTCCTGCATATACTTTAACACTGTACATTCCTTTAACACACAAAAAAGCTGCATATTTTATCTGATTGCTGAATATTGCAGAAATAAGGCCACCATCAGTGTTCACATCCTATGGGAAGGCAAACAGAGAGTAAAAGACTAGTCATAATATTGTCAGTTGGCTGCCTGTAGCTAGCTGAGCTGAATATTAGCCTAATATATTAGCATGTTCTTACTATGAAATGGAGCTATTTTGCTGCATCCAAAAATCAGAGAAAATCTATGGGTAGGTTTGAATTCTATTGGTGGATGAAACTAAGTATTTTCAGTTCTTAGTAAAAACACAATAAAAGGGACATGAAATGTGGAAAGTGTCCAAAATAGGCAGGCAGAGCACTAGTCACCAGTATTGCCTGTAAGCTCCCTGCAACTGATCTTTTTTCTATTAGTATCATTATTATTATTATAGAAGATTTATATAGCTCCAACAGTTTACGCAGCTCCTTACAACATAAGGGCAGACCTTAAAATTACAATACAATTTGATACAGTAGGAATCAGAGGGCCTTGCTATATTTACTGATTTATCATTCCATATTCTGCACTGTGTTGCTTCATCACATCAGAACTAGCCCCCTACAACTGGTGGGGAACATTCAAGCAGCAGCAGAAGAGATGTAGGAATGATACAAAATATAGTGGAAGCAGGGGGATCCTCAAACTATGAGTCCTATGGTCAGGGCAGGGACAAGGGGTGGGCGGGAGTTGTGGCTGCCCTGGGCACAATGGTTTATGGGGATGGGAGCACCTTCCTTCTGTATTAAGGCTGAAAGGTGTAGTGACAGCAGCATCACTTCTCCTGTCAGCCCAGTGCTGGGAGTGGTGAGGAGAGATCCTGGAGAAGGTGCGGGCTGTGTTCTCACTTTCCCTTCTTCCTGGTGGGACTGCGTTGGAAAAACTGTGCACTTCCAGGTCGATGCAAAACCTGACTGACAGATCAGGAGCTGCATAGTGATTTTGACAAATGACAGCTGTGCATAGGATACCCTAAGCTTGCAAATCATGAAGGGGGGGGGCACATTTTGGCATCTTTGCCCTGGGCACTTGATGACCATGTCCCAGCACTGCCTAGGGTACAGCTTCCTCTCCAGCACATCCCCAAGGGGAACAGTGAGCAGCACAGTAGTGACATTATCAAATCTCCAAACCACCTAAGCAGTCAGAGGTATCATTACCTTAGATATCATACTGCAGATATACAGTTATTAGGTTACAGAACAGGAAAACCTGAGCATATTCACATGTCAGAAGGTGCACTGCTATTTTTCAGGAATTAACAAAAAAAAAAAAAAACATTTTCCAGGGTGCTGCTAAAGCACAATTAACATTTCTGGATAGTCCCTCTAAGATAGTAAATCTTTACTTTTTGAGCTCTGTCATTTGTGCTTGTTGGTCTTCATAAACTCCTAGAAGAATATCATTTTATCATAGATTCATATTTGTTCTATTAACATCTTGCTGCATCAACCTAAATGCTACATTTTTGTATAGTTTACTAGCTGACATAAGAAACTTTGCTAAACACTGGGAGCAATGGGTTACGACATCATTGGAAAACCTTCCAGAATCACTCTCAGAAAAGAAACTGCCAATTGTTAGAAGATTTGTGTCATCCTTGAAGAGGCAGACTTCATTTTTGCACTTAGCTCAGGTAAGTTCTGAAAATCATATTCTATCTTCAGCTACATTCCTAGTGAACAAAAATATCTCAGAACCATTAATAACCATTAGGGCACTGGCACTCCATACAATACTTTTAATTGTTGAATGGAGCAAGGAAGGGACAGCTCCTTTTACAGCTTTTTATTGCTTTCTGTGTTTCTATTGAAACAGCCTGCAGTACAATCCCAACAGAGGTTGTACCAATTTTCTACTCTGTTATTGGGACATAAAAAAAATTGATTGGTATTGATTTCCTAACTATGATTTCAGAAAATTACATTTATTCTGATTGACCTTGATGGGCAACTGTGTAATGATGTTATTATTACTGTACATATACATTTCTTGAACAATATAAGAGGCTTGTGTGCATGTTTTTACAATGAGTTTTCCATGATGGTGAATACATCTGACAAGCATTTGTGAGTTAGAGTAACAGCTGGGCTCTGGTAACCTGTTATGACTCTCGGGGATAGTAATAAAGGAAATCATATTCTGGCATCACACAAATTGCATGTCTAATAATATACACGGCAGAACTAAATATTGTAGGGACATGCTGCCTAATAAGTAAGCATTTGCATTTGGCCGCTATAAAAGCTGAGGACATCATATTTTATTTAAAACAAGTAAAATATATATTTTAGTTTATTATGTCACAGTCAAAAGCCAGAAATACTGGACATCAGAAACACTGGACACACAGCACACCATTTAAATGGTTTTACAATGCCACAATGCAAGATTAAGAGACTAGTCAGGTTTGGTCCTTGTGAAAAATATACATTGCAGCGTGTTTTTTCAGAAACAAGAACCAGAAAAACTGAACTGAGTAGCTGGAAAGCATGTACCGTATTTTTCGCCGTATAAGACGCACCTGACCATAAGACGCACCTAGGTTTTAGAGGCAGAAAACAGGAAAAAAAAAATTCTGAACTAATGGACTGCAGACACAGTACAGGAGATGACCAGAGACTGCGGACAGCACAGGGATGACCAGAGACTGCGGACAGCACAGGGATGACCAGAGACTGCGGACAGCACAGGGATGACCAGAGACTGCGGACAGCACAGGGATGACCAGAGAGACTGCGGACAGCACAGGGATGACCAGAGACTGCGGACAGTACAGATGACTGCTGACCTTTGGGGGGAGGTGGGGAGCGGGTACCTGAATTTGACAGGTACCCGCTCTTACTTCCGCAGAGTTTTTGTTTGAGCTTACCTGTTCCTCGATCCAGCCGCGCGCTGTCTTCCCGGCTTCTGTAATGGCGCTCGGCATGACAGCCGGGTGCCCAGTGTGCATGAGCGAGAAGCACTTGCGCTTTGTGATTGGTCCGGCGGCTTCTGGGATCTGTCATGTGTCCCAGGTACCGCCTTACCATTCACAAAAAGCACCGCTTCTTGCGCATGCGCACTTGGCACCCGGCTGTCATGCCCAGTGCCCACACTACAGAAGCCGGGAAGACAGCACGCCGCTGGATAGAGGAACAGGTAAGGTCCCGCTGCAGAGCCGAGCGGCCGGCCCGGTATTCTGACACGGCCGCGGTGGAAATACCGGACCGGCCGCTCCATATTCGCTCTATAACACGCACTGACATTCCCCCCCCAGTTTTGGGGAAGAAAAAGTGCGTCTTATACGGCGAAAAATACGGTACTCCTTATTTGCTAAGATCTTATGTCAGAGAGAGATCTGGCAAACCTAATGTGGCGTGAACAAATCACAATGCCTTTTTTTTCTCAGACTGTGGACCTAAACAATTGTAAAAATTTGATGTGCACTTCAAGCCTTTTTGCTAGTCTGGTATTTAACAGTGAGAGACCAGGCAGAATACATATAAAATAAAGAACATTTAGAGCTATTAAGGCTGAAACTGAGGGACACCATTTAAAGGATAAGTTCACTTTTTAGACAAAAATAATAAATGCACATTTTTTTGCAGGTAACAAAATGTGCATTTATTATTTTGGTCTGCAGGAGCCTGGAAAGCATTGCACCAGCGATCAGTAGATTGCTGATACCATGCAGGTCTTCTGCAGACCTGTCAGAATGTCTGCTTGCTGTACAGGATGTACCAGCAAGCAGATATTCTGACAGTAAGCTTCAATGAACTACTACAATGCTATGAAGCGTAGTTCATTGAAAACAACAAGCCGACAGCCGCTAAGGCTGCCAGAACTTGAAGTTCATTCATTCACGGACGTCCGTGAATGAGTGACGCAGCTGTGCGGGCGGCCATGCTATTTTCAAATTTGACAGATAGTACATGGATACTTTTCCCCGGATTATCTGTCATAGGGAGGGGAGGCGGCAAGCAGCAGCTGTGGCTACGGGAATATGTTACATGTTCCACCCTAAAAACGGGTGGAACATGTAACATGTTCTCAAAGGTAAATTTATCCTTTAAGTCTTTATCAGGCTGCAATTTTCAGAAGGAGAGAGAAATCAGAATGCGCCTTGAAATCTAAAATTTGGGCCTTTTTTTGAAGACTAAAGAAGGATAAAATGTGACAGTTTTGCAGCACAGTCAGTGCCAGGACAAGGTCATCTAGCTCCCAGGGTGAATATGCTAAACCAGCCCCCCCCCAAAAATGTATAAGTATTGTGTCAGCAAAAATTGTCTGCCTCCCCCCAAAAAAGCACTAACCTTCACACTTACATCCTAAGCATAAATTGCTTTTGCTCCCAAAATATTTCCCCTCTTCCAGTACAAATCCCCCCCCAGTTCAAATCCTCTTCCTCCCCAAACCTTCCGAGCACAAGAACATGTATAAATCCCCCCCCCCCCTCTAAATCTCCGTCTCCCAGCACAATTCCTTCCCTAAATCCCCTCTCGTAGAACTAATCCTACCCCCTAATTTCTTCTCCTAGCACAAATCCCTTCAGTCATCCCCTGCTAGCACAAATCATACCCCCCCAATTCCATCTTCTTAACAGAAATCCACTCTCCTAGTACAAGTCTACCCTCCAATGTCCTATTCTAGCACAAAATATCCACCACGCTTAGATCAGCCACCCCTCTTGTCCACTCCTTGTCCTAGCCCTGAGCACAGTTTTTAAGTCCATATGGACCTTTAGCATGCATAGAAAATAGTGTCTTTTTTTGAACACTGATGATGGACATAGGATACAAATTTGCACCTCAATTAAAAAGCCCATTTGGGCAGGCCACATTTACTAGGTGATTGAGCAGACCTGTAGCTTCGGTTAAAAAATTTTTTGGACACTGGCAATGAGAATAGCATGCAGGTTTGCACTACGGATAGGAAGCCTATTTGGAAAGGTTGCAATTTGTGACCAAATTAAGCAAGCAGTTAGCATCAGGAAATAAACAATTAGTGTGTTTTTTTTTTGCACACTGAGGATGGAAAAAACATACAGTATAGCAACACAGATGACAAACTGGTATGGGCAGTCTACAATTTTGGAGGGATAGAGCTGGTAATTTATGCCAGTAAATTGTGTGTCAGTGCCTTTGTTTTGGACACTGAAGATAGAAACAGCATACATCTTTGCAACATATTTGTGAACCATTCATTGTTAAGCTTGCAATATAAGAGGGAGAGAATAACCAGACTGCAATTAGCCAAAAAATCGGCTTCCTTTTCCACAGAGTGAGGACTATTTGACAGAGAGAGAACAAAGAAATTGCACTTTACAATTATTTTTTTTACACAGCACAGCTTTTTTACCCATTGTGGAGAGGCCACTATTTATAATCAACAGAGAGGGCAGATTAAAATTTAAATAATTAAATCACACTGTGTATTCACAGAGATATGATATAAACATTGTACAAATTTCAGAGGATCTTATTATTATTAATGGAAAGCCCATTTGTAGATAGAGGGATTCATTAACTAACATTAGAGAGTGCAAAATCTGGGGCAGCTCTGCATAGAAACCAATCAGCTTCCAGGGTTTTATGTCAAAGCCTAATTGAACATGCTGAAGTTAGAAGCTGATTGGCTGCACCAGATCTTGCACTCTCCAGTTTTAGTAAATCAACTTTAGAGTCTGCTTATTTCTGCCTGAATTCGTAAAGGAAACTGTATTTAGGTGCACATTAAAAATTGGAATTGGATACATTTTTAGAACATACTGAAATCTTTTTGAAAATAGACAAATATGGAGGCAGCTTATTTCAGCATGCAAATAAAACATGTATTTTTAGGACACATTATATAACTGTTTTGTAGATTTATTGCACATTAACGCTTCTTTTTTAAGAGTAGGCAATTTAGGATGCAGGGAGATGATATATTTCAGCCATCAATAATGAGACTATTATTTTTCTGACACATAATCCTTTTTAATAAAATACATAACATTTGCAACTGTGAAGCAGTTGATAAAAATTTAGTGTGCCACATTAGAAATTGCTGTTGCAAAGAACAGCAGCTATGGCCCCATATTTTGGACAGTAATAGTAGCAGGCCTGCAACAATAGCAGGAGATGTTGATAGTGGTAGGTATAGAGATGGGTTAATGGTGGATTAGTGTACACAGGGAGACCAGACATGGTAATGGTGACAAGATGTGAGGTTGTTTCTGCCCTGTCCTCTTCTGACCTGCTTCAGATGATCTTGTAACCCAGGGTACCTATTCAAGGAACTGCTGCCCCACCAATGTGCCAAGGAAGGCACATATGTCAACTTTCCGTGCTGGAATGCAGGCAGCAGGTTGGTTTCATTGTCACACACCACCATTCCTGGCACAAGTTTCCACGTGGTTAATCACTTCTGGGCCTGCCCCTGCAGAATTGAAAGAATTTCTAACCCAACGGTGACTGCTGTATCCTAAGCATACCAACTGGTTTTCACCTCAGCCATTGCATAGCTTCTTAACACCTATGGGGGACTGGTGGATCAGAGGACATCTGGATCCTGGATCCTTTCACAGAATCAGAGCAAGGTTGCAGCCTACAATTGCCCCTACTCTGTGTGTCTCCATACAGACCAGTGAATAGCTGTTTGTCAGGGACAGTG